ATCGGTCTGCACATGAGACCTACCACAGGCAAATAAAGATTATTTCAATGAAAAAAAGAAAATATGGATTCCTGTGTTCTGCTCTAAGCTCTCTGGAGTTGGGGCCTGGATTCTATATTTTAATGTCTCAGGTGAGTCTCCTGTAACCAGTCCAGTACTGGGCAAGGATTAGAACTCAGGCGCTGCGAGGGCAGATGACTTCTGAGGTCTCTTCTAGCTAAGAGGTTCTGCCTTTGTAATTGACACGATTAACTACGCTGCACAGCAGGGTTTTTCAAACTTTGTAATACCAGCATTAAGGAAAAAAAAATCAAACCTAAGACTATAAAAGGAGAATGCACTGCCTGTAATAAGGGTATTGTTTCATGAGATGTTTTTCAGAGGTGAGTATACAGGTAAGTGGTGATATAAAATACATTTGTATTTTACTGTGGGCTATGGTAAAACAATTTCGAAAGCTAGTGCTGTCAAGAGAATAATCGATCTCAACCTTCAGTGTAAGAATGCGAATTTCTGAGCCCCACAAAGCTGAAGTCACTGAGTGGAGTTCAAGAATCTGTATTATTCGCAGCTGACTGATGCAGACTACCCTAACCCACACAGACTATTGCACTTAAGTGAACTCAGACCCGTCCCTAGGACCCAACTCACCCAGTGCTTTTCCATACTGGTGGGTAGGTGGTGGGGTGGCAGAATGTTCTCAAGGGGAGCAGATCCTATCCCCCATTTTTGTGGTGGCAGTGATGATCCGGAAAAGCACGGTTATTATCACTATGCTGTTATATTGGGCAGGAACCCTATTTTGTTATTTGTAACATTAAAGAGAACACTGGATTTTTTTCTGCCTGAAAAGTGGGGAAAGAAGGGATGTGTACTTTTTGTCCACTCAGCAGCAGGGACTGTACCTGTTTGGTTCAACGCCATGCTTCACGGAGATGAGCTCTCAAGTATTTGGGGAATAAAAAAAAGAAGTAGAAAGTGTTGCACAGAGAACAGGAAGCGGCACCTGGTTCCTCTACAAGCTGTTGTCACTCGGAGAGCCTACTTCTTCACAGATGTTAGGGATTCCCTGAAAGAAGAGAAGCCCAGCAAACAACTCCCTAAATCCAAGCTTACTTAATATTGAATAACCCCCAGCCTCGCTTTCTTTACTTTCCCACCCAGGAAAGAGTAACACTCAAGCCATAGAATAAACCCTCTTACGTTCAAGCCTGCCACAGAACATACTGATAACAGCTCCTACTATGTGCCAAGTGATTTACCTATTACCTTTAATTCTTGAAAATAACCTGGCAAAGGAGGTGTGTTGATCCATTTTATACAAGACCCAAGGACCAGGGAGGTCGGCTGACTTGCCTCAGGTCTCACCTAGGCAGTAAGTGGCAGTGTTGCTTTCTGTGCCCAATCTGAGCAACAAGCTCGTCTTGAAGGTCAGACACTGGGAACATACGTGAGACACAGACTTGTGACCGAGATTACAGGACATCAGCTACAAAATGCACACATCTTTTTTGAGAAACCCATTTTGAGGAACAGTCTTCCTTTAATTAGAATTTAGGGGCTACTTGGGTATTTGTCCCTATAGACTCAACTGCTGACATTAAGGTCAACTCGATTTCTATGACTGCCAACTCTCCGTGGGAAATTGGGGAATACAAGCTAACATGTTAAAACAGCATTTTGTAGGCTGGTAAAGTAATTTCAGGAAAAATCTGCTGGAAGTATATTTCAAAGGACAGATGTGTGGTTTAGCCCTTTACTTAAGATCTATAAACATGTACAAAAAGACAGCAGGTCTGGAGGTTTTGCAGTCTGCCTGCCTTGGTTTGAAGACTTGGCTCCACCACCAGCACTTGTGACTTTGGGAAGTTCATTTCCTTCTCTACGCCCTCTGCGTCTTCATGATTCTAACACCTTGTAGCGTCATGAAGACTAAATAAGATAATATATACAGGTCAGGAAAGAATTCCAACCAACATCTGGGAAAGCATCTCCCTCCCCTGGAGTTTGCTCAGACGACCACCCTGAGAGTAACAACCATCATACAACTATTTCCTAAAATTAGAGGTGGAAGAGGGACAGATGACAGCTAGTGGAACTCTTCACACAAAACAAGTCCATCCTGTCTGCCAGGGACCTGCAAGGGATTTAAGATGCTTAAACTCCAAATTCTGTACTCTTTCTTATCCACTATGACATACCATGTAATGTCGGAGCAACATGAATCTTTAAAAGCAAAAGACAAAAATACATTATAGGGAAATACTTCCAGTCGCCAGGGTGTTAAAAGGATTAAAAGTCTTAGTTATCAAAGCAATAGGTTTGGCAGGGTAACTGAGGGACTCTAGAACATCATTTCTGCTTAAAGTGTTGAATGCCTTTGCTTTTCAAGCTACTTTCAAACTCCAGATACATGGTCTCTGTGGAGTTCAAGAATCGGCATTTTTAACAGCTGACTGATGCAGACAGCCCTAGACCACACAGACTACTCCATATGTCACACAGAGAAACTACTGTTTCTCTGAGTTACCACATAGCAAATTAAATCAACAGTGATAAATATAATTACATAACATCCTAAAATCAAGTTACATAAGGTTCTCAACTGGTACACTCACAACTCATTTTTGTTCAGATTCGTTTGAAAACACAAACCATCTGTTTTTGTTTCCTAAGTGTTCCTGCACCTTTAACAGAGTCAAGTTCAGTCTTCCTGGTGCCCCTGGGTGCCTTAGGCTGGATTCCCCTTGGACAACCGCAAACTGTGGTTTCCATAACAAGCTGCTCTGAAAGTGGTTCCGTAACCCCCAGGCACCAGCTAGGTCTCCAGTGGCTGGCAACTTAAACTATTTGTGGGTAGTTTCTGGGTCCTGACCTCACCACTCACCTAAGAGGCCCAGACCTTAACCCTTTAGGACTTAGGCCTCTGGCGGCCTAGTCATTGTGGTCTTTACCCACCCATTGCGGCATCTCGGCGTAATGCAGTTTATTAACAGATTGGGACTAGCAGGAGGTTAAGCTGCAAGAAAAGGAAAAAGCACAAGATTCAGAAGATAAAGGGTTATACACAAAATCCAAGAGGCCAGTTGGCTCAAGGGCCAGAGAGGCTGCAATTTGCCTTGGTGCCTGCTTATGCCACGATGCTAGCAGGGGAAGCAGAGCAGAAATTAGAACAGTTACCTTTCTCTAGCTTAGCATTCTTTCAACTACACCACACCATCTCACAGCTTGAAGATCCTATGCAAAGACCTTATACTCACTGCACAGAAGGCCAAGACAACAGGACAAAAAGAGAGCCTCTACAGGGACAGTTCTGTGGAGCTGACATTCCTGACAGTCAGTGCTGGCTGCACAGATAAGGCAGTATGTTCTACACATCCAAAAGATGACATATTACAAAGCCATTGTAATGACATGAGAACATGCTTGAGGAAAAAAAAGACAATTCAAAATTATAGTTTTCTCAATTGTTTAATAAAGGAAGCCTAGAAGGTAACATTAGCCATGTTTGCTAGTGTTGCCAATGGAGAATCTACCGCCCTTAGTCATGTGACTATCATGTATGATTTTTGATTATTTATTTGGCTTCAAGACAGTCCTTGTGGACTGTATTTTCTAACAGCTCAAAACAGTCACACACACGTACAATTTTTTTAAAGTTCTGATTACATCTTTAAAAAGAACTCTAGACAACTCTCAACCAGGCTTTGACCTCTCCCCTTTAGCCACCCTCTGTGGATGAAAATACCAAGCACTCTGCTACAATAGCCTAAGCTGTTTCCCCATTTCTGCCTGAAGTCCTCTTTCTAGTCTGTCTTGCTGCAACTGCTAGAGGCTCCATTGGTGCATTCTGGGATCTGACCCCTCCCTAGCCCGATCTGATCTAAGACTTTCCTCCCCCCTCACTTAGTTACAGGGTCTCTCGGATGTTTCTCAAAAGACTGGGACCTCGTAGCATTCACACAGCTGGCTGGAGCCATGATGTACCTGCTTAAGTATCATGACCACCCCGTATCTATCTCGACAGCACTTCACACATTTGTATGATTACCCTGAGCGGCAGAATGTTTGACATCCCTGAACTCCAGGCACTAATACCAACAGCAGTCCTAGTTACAGTGATAACCAGGCCACCCACACAAATTTTCAAATACCCAACGATGGGGATCCGTATTATTGTCCCAGCTCGAGACCTCTGCACTAGAGGGTACCTGCAGGATTAGAACAATCAATCAGCAAAGTGGCATCCAGTATTTCTGGGCCTGGTACTGGGATATAGACAGATGCCCACTATGGACACTACCTTATTCTGAAGACAAGCACAATGCAACATGGGGACAGAGGGTCACCTGACACTGATCCAGGTTTTTATGGGTAGCAGCAGCAGAAATGTGAAAAATAACCACACATCAAGAACTTCACAAAACTATTTATTCAAGAACTCTCCTGGGATAGTATGTCCTTTGTTCTGGCACTAGGAAGTGAGTAGTGCTTCTATACTTGTATGTGCGTGCATACAAGTCACCTACGGACCTTGTTAAAAGGCAGATTCCAATTCACTAGGTCTGAGGTAGGGCCCAAGAGTTTCAAAAACCCCTCAGATGTATCCATCCACTGACTAATATGCTCAACCCAAAACGTCAGTGCTTTTGACCCGTGTGGTATCTGTTTGGAAGCCAAACCTCAACCAGAACAGAGGGTAAGCTTTCCTTTCTGGCACTGGCTGCTCTAAGCTGGTTAGGAAGTATCCCCACTTCCTCCGGTCCCCAAGACATTTTATGACTCACCTAAAATAACATTTGCTGGAGCTAGGGCTAAAATTGTTACATCTGAACTCCCAAGAGTCTTTTTTCACTGGGCCAGGAGCCCAGGTAGTTTGACCTTAAAATGCTTTTAGGTGAAATTAGCATAAGCTCTCCATCTCCTCTGTACAGTATAGTGGCCTCCCACAGCAGCTAACACCCAGCACTGGTTAGAGCTAGATATTCACCAAGAGTTAGTTTTTTCTCAAAGACGTTTATTCCAGTTGTTAATTGTTACTGTAATTACAGAAGTTAAAACAAGTGAGGTTACCCCTGTAAAGGTGAAGACGATTCACAAGCATCAAAATTCAGTCACAAACTTTCACTCTATTTACAAGGCAGCAGCCCTGGCCCTATAGTAAAAGTCTGAGAAGTGAATGCACATTGATGTTTTAAGTGAAATAAAAAGTATTTGGTAACACATTCCATGATTTCCCCCTTTAACCAATTGGATCTGATCTAACTGGTAAGACTTCATTATCAGGAAGACAAAATAAATCACATTTACGTAAAAAATTAGACACACCAAATAATCTCTGGGTTTTAAAAGATCTACAAAGGCAGCTAACAAATTAGAGGACCATTAACAGCAATGAAAAGGTGGCCTAAAGACAAGTGAACTCCTCAGTCACAAATGAATAAGCTATTAACATGTGCTCAAAACTTTAACCCAAGACTGAAAATTATGAACTGCTGGCCAAGTATTGTGTCTAATGGTCAGAGAAATGGTGGCTTCTGAACATCACTGCTTCAGTGACCTGGAAATGCACAGGCAAGAAAGTTCCACTTTCATACCAGAGGGAAGAAAACCGCTAAGTCACATTTCTCATACACCAACACACAGAATTAACCTTTTTCGAACACCATGTGCGGGTACAAGTCTAAGCATTCTACAGTATCAACTGATTCAAACCTCTGAGAGGTATTACTATTATTACTGCCTCTATGATACAGAAGAGGAAACTGAGGCAGATACTAACTTGCTAATTAGTTACTAAACTGAATTAACATGCACTAAAAATTTAAACCCAAGTCTGAAAACTATAAACCAATAGCCAAGTACTGTGTCTTAACAGTTAGAGAAATGGCAATTTGCCTCAAAGACCACCCTTTCCTCTAAACACTGCTATTCAACAGCCTCATAGATTCTCATTTTTATAGGGAAATGGAGTCTGAACAGTTAAACCAAAATTTAATCCCAAGCATCACACCAAAGCCTGTGATCCATTCACCAGACATTAGTGCTGGTAGAAATCACTAGTGAAGAACAGTCACTGAATAAAGGGGAGCCTCCTGCAACATGGGAGCACTGCACCCCACCTTTAATCAAGGCTCTAAATTCAACTCCCAACCCGAATCATACCTTCCCCACTAAAATCAGTTTCCACATGATTCCTGCACCACAGCCTATCGACAACGGTGTGGTGAGTACAGGCATCGCTGCGAAGCTCAGGCTTGGATCTGCCAGCAAACACTGGCCTCCAACCAGAGGAAGACAGGGTTGTTACCAGCTATTCCCATCGAAGCTTTAAGTGGCTTGAGGTCCAAGGACTTGAATATGGCCAGGCTCCTTTCACAGAACACACACAGTAATGTACATTTCACTGAAAATATTTTATTGGCCTTTTGGATAGAAACGGGAATTTATTTGCCAGGAAGGATGATCCCATCATACTGAAAAGAGAAGAGATTTTATTTTTTCAGAACAGGAGGCAACAGCAAAGATCGCAGCAATGGCTAATGTTTGAGAATTCAAATCTGATACATGAATTTCGCTGAATCCCATATCCCTTCCAGACTAAACAGGAAACTGGCCAATTTTAACAACTGCTACACTGAGCTCAATAGCACTATAAAAAGGGGGTTTCTATTACAGCCATATTCCTCCCCTTACAGCTATCAGAATTCATGAGAGTAGGGAAAAGGCCTGGTTCTTGGTGTTCTTTTAAACCCCCAACCCTGGAAGGCCCTACTTGCCAAGCTGCTTAAATATTCTTTCTTTAAGGAAGCTACCCACCAAATGATGCTAGATTCTGCATCCCCCAAATCCCAACTCCATTCACCAAACACCACATTCCACCATTTCACCTGAGATAAATCAGCTTTACCTTCTGCTGGAACCAGCGCATGGCCTCCTCTTTGCTGATTCTGTGTTTGGCCCCAATGCAGCCTGTCCTGCGTTTCTTGTCTGCGATGCTGAAACCTGGCCTACCCAGCACCTGTCCCAGGAATAACCAACAGTCACCTAGCCAGCTCAGAGTCAAGTGCAGATGGACAAGACTCACACATTGCAGAGATCAAATCTTCTAAGAGTGACCTGGTGGCCTAGTGAATTCTGGAGCAAAAGACCCATGATCTCAGTGATGAAAACATTACCAGCAGCCTGGACAACACACCACCATACAATGGGCTTACTTTAGTGGCTGGAACTTGTAGCACCTTCCCACTCCGCCCCACCACATAACTTCCAATGGCAGCCAAGGATTCTCCAGCACTGCTCTCCAATCTTCAAAGCACTTTTATTTTTAAAAATAATATTAAGAAAAATCTTACTACAACACTACTGCATTGTAGAAAACTTCCCAATTCTCATTACTGTTTGGATATTCGGATCTAATGAGGGTGCTGCCATCATTCAGGCCTCATACCAATCATTCTGGTTTTTGCTATTTAGTTTCAGAGCTGTACCAAAACATTGCAGTAACCCAAAAAGTCACTTCTACATTGAAAAATCCCCATCCTGAGCAAACCAGCCACATCGACAAACCTGCTTCTGTATCCTCTGGATGGAAGCTGCATGAAGGAGCTGAGAAAGAACACCCTCGGTGGAGCCAACCCGCATGCCCAATGAGGCATAACAGTATCTAATTTTCAATTCAGTGGCTGGAACAGTTTCCTTCATCTACCTTTAAGCCTAGACTAAGCTTCACAATAGCAGTGATCTTGTCTATCTAGTTCAGTGCTGTATCCCTACACATGCCACAAACGAGGCACATCTTCCTTCCTAAGGGGGAGAAGACAAAGGCAGACAACACTCAAAGCTTCAATCCAACATCAGAACATCAAAACAGCACATGAAATAAGAGAGTAACAAATTCCACTCTCCTAACAGATCAAGACTGGAAAAGATTGATCCGTACCACATAGAAGTCCAGGCCGTAGATACCAATGCTTGGGTCATATTTGATCCCCAAATCGATGTGTTCCTGGATCCCAAAACCAAAGTTTCCAGTATCTGAGAAGTTATTTTTTCGTAACTCGTACTCTCGCACCTGAAGAGAAAAATGTAGCAATCACACTCCTTGTCAACTCAACACCCCCCAAAATAACTAGCTTAGCTTGCACCACTCAGCACCCCAGGAGTACAATTTGATGCAATTTGGCCAGGAACAAAATCCCATTTCCCCGCTACACCAAATCACATCCCAACTATGGATTTCATAAAACTTCCCCAACTTTCAAAGGGCAAGGGAAGTCCTTCAGAAGTTCAGACATACAGATGGCCATCAAACACATGAAAAGAAGCTCGACATCACTACTCATCATAGAAAAGCAAATCCAAACCACGAGAACACCTCACACATGTTAGAATGGCTATTATCAAAAAGAAATAAGTGGTGTCAGGATGTGGAGAAAAGGGTATCTTCATGCACTGTTGATGGGTAATGTAAATTGGTGCAGTTATATAGAAAACAGGATAAAGGTTCCTCGAAAAAAATTAAAAAATAATTTAAAAAATAAAAAAAAAATGATCTGGCAATGCCACTTCTGGGTATTTATCCAAAGAAAACAAGAATACTAATTCAAAAAGACATATGCACCCTTATGTTCACTGTATTGCTTACAATAGCTAAGATATAGAAACCACCTATGTCCACTGATAAAGATGATCTTGTGTATGCAATGGAATACTACTCAGCCATGAAAAATAAAACCTTGTCATTTGTGCCAACAATGGCATGGACTTTGAGGGCATTATGCTACTGAAATAAGTCAGAGAAAGACAAATACTGTATCATTTCACTTATATGTGGACTTTAAGAAACAAAACTTACGATACAGGGAACAGATTGGTGGATGCCAGAAAGGAGTGGGGTTAGGCAAAATGGGGAAGGGGGTCAAGAGTTACAAACTTCCAGTTATAAAATAAAGAAGTCGTGGTGACTATAGTTGATAATTTGTATTGCATATGTGAAAGCTACTGAGAGTAAATCTTGAAAGTTCTCATTGCAAGAAAAATTTTTTTGTAACTTTGTACAGTGTCATATGGTAACTAGACTTATTGTGATGATCATTTCCATTTCCTGTATACAAGTATCATTATGTTGTACACCTGAAACTAATACATTATGTTAATGATACCCCACAAAAAATCAAGGCACCAAAAACAGCACAGTAAGTTTAACTACTGTCACTATAACCACCTACATGTGTTAAGCTGGTGCTTCTTAGCATCACCTCGTGATGGCATCAGCCTTACCTTTAAACCTTTCTCCAAGATTTCTTCTGCCTTGGCCCCACGGACTGTGCAGTGGACGGCAATCTTTTCATTTCTCCTGATGCCAAAGGATCTGACGGTGTATCTAGCTGCAGGCAGGGGGTAACAAGGAGTCAAGTGTTGTCATATTCTCACTGCACTGGCCCATCCTAGGAACATCTCCAGGACCCCAAGAAGACATTAAGTATCTATCCATGCTCTAAGTGGTGGTGTTCTAACCAGTGTCTCCTACATCCATTAATTGGTTTCATCCATTATAAAGAAAACAGATTTCTCAACTTCCAAGTCACTCAGCCATGCTTATGCAATTAAGAGCTAGAAGTCATGTCAGTCTCTGGAAGGGGAAGTTCACAATCAGAATAGGCCCTTAGGAAGAAAGGGATCACTGTGTTCTTAAGAAAACATTAGAATAGCAGCTAATATTTGCTAAAACCCATTGTACTCTTATCCCCATTTTATAGATGAGGTTCAGACAGGTTAACTTGTCTAAGACTGCAGCTGGTAATAATAAGAGGCAGGATGTGAACCCAAGGACTTGCCACATTCCTATCCTACAGCAACATAACTTTAAAACAAAATGTAACAATAGTAACGCATTACACTTGGTATCCAGCATTTGTAAATAAGGAAGCTGAGGTCGAGAGAGGCCAAAGTCAGGCTAAAAAGTGGCGGAGCCAGATTTTGAACTCAGAGGGTCTAGGTACACCTCCCTGTTCTCAATGTAGCCCTACTGCTAATCAGGCCTAATACCACTTACTGCACTCACAACCTTTCCACTCTACCGCAAGCCTTACTTGGAAAATCTTTACTTGGGCTGGTCTTAATCTCTGCTAACATAACGCTTGGTATTCCAACACCACACCCGATCTTAAATGGAAGATATTTCTTGAGTAGCTCAGGAAGGCAATATTTTCAAGGAGTGCCAACTGTCACTTTCAAAACGGGCACTCAACAGGCCTGACAGCAGGGGAGGTAAGAAATATCCAGGCATATGGAGCCACCAGCCCTCCTGGCGCTTACTCACCTTTGGAGAACACAGGGGTCTGGCCTGTGAGCTGCTCCAGGACCTTGGCTGCCCGGGTCAGTCTGTCTCCACTCTCCCCCACACAGATGTTGAGGCAGAGCTTGCGGATGCGAAGCTCCCGCATGGGGTTCTCCTTTTCACCTTGATCCTGCTGTAACAGGGAAGGGCAGCGGTCAACACACTCAAACCGCCACAGCTGCGAGCCCAGTAGAGCCCACTATATTTATACATTGCATATTCATTTCTGCTCATTCCAAACCGTATCGAAAGCCCTGAGTTTAATAAGTGTCACTGTTTGTCTGGGAGGCGTCAAGAAAGATAACACGGAACGGGTGAACAGAAACTTAGGGTACGTACCGAGTATCAAGGTTAGACACTGAGGATGAGCCCCAAAGGGCTCAACGTGTAGGGTGACAGGGAGCGCCCCATTATAAGGTCAACGGGGGGTGGGGGCGAGAGAAAATAGAATTTAACTGAAGAAACAGGAAACACGTGGTTGTGCCACGTTCCCCAACACATTCCGAAGCAGCTCCGCGGCTGCAGCAGCAGGCTGGCCCCATCCCTAAGCGGAGGTTTTGTCTGAGGTTCCCTAGCACCAGACAAGTCTCAAGTCCCCAGGCTTGGAAACTGGCCCGGACTCCGTGTCCCAGACCCTTTCGTCCGATCCACTCGCCCTCGAGGCTGCCTACGCGCCCATGCTTCTGTGCCCTGCCGATGGCTTCCCCGAGCCCGCTCGGAGAACGGGAGGGGAGGCGACAACGTCCATCTCTGCGCCCTCAGCCCGCATGGCTCTGCCAGTTTCCGCACGGCCAGCATCGAGAGCTCCGTGCTCCTCGGGCCGCGGGCGACGAGGCCCCCGCGGGCTTGGCCGGCTGTGGATGGAGGCGGATGTAAGGAAGCAAACCGGGCCTCAGCTACTCACCGCCATCATGAAAGACAGGAAGAGAGAGTGAAGTTTCCGGCTCAGGGCCTTATGGGTCAAGAGGCGGGTTCTCTTCCCAAGCTAACCAGAGAGATGAGGAAGAGAAAGAGAGGCACGTCTGGCGCGGCGTAACATCGGCTTCCCCCTCGTGGACACTGCCAGCAACTGCAAGAGACTCTGGCTGTCGATCCGGACCTGGGTTTTCCAAAAATAGTTTTTCAAGCTCCCTGAACTGGGTTTTACTTGAGCTTCCGGGCCCCACACAGTCTCAGGACCTGGCAGACTCATCTCCGTGATGAGTCTGCCAGAACTACATTAAATAAATTGTGCGAATTATGAAGCAACAAATTTATTTTGTAACAGTGTAAACAAATGGAATTTATACAATTAGAATGGAGTGGTGGCTTGAGTCCTGAGCCATGAAGACAGGCCAGTGTAGTCTGGCTTTGGCTAATAGCTAGTGACCTTGGGCAGGTTACTAATTAGACTTCTTTCAACCTCAATTTTCCTCATCTTTAAAATAGGTACTCCCACGAGATTGTGAAAATTAAATGAGGCAAGTGCTTAGAGCACGTAGTAAGTTCACAATAAATGGTTATTCTTGTTATTAATAGAAACTTACTGTAATCAAGCAACCTCCCTTCCTCCTCAGGGAAAAAAAAAATGTTAGAACGTATACAATCAAGAGAGGATCATCCTGCAGGCACAAAGAGGGCTTGCAGGTTAGTCTGACAGACAAGAAATCCAATCCCAGACAGTAAGAGGGTTCCCTGGTTTACACTAAGTCCTTAGCAGCAGGACCAAGGGAGTGCCAGGATCCAAGTCCCAGGCAGAAGCTATCCTGAGTCAGCCCATTCCTTTAACAGGAACCAATGGGAAGAGGGGAACATACAGGACTTTGGTGGGAAAGGAGCTAAGCCACTTCCTTCTGCTGCCACAATTCTTTTCTCTCATCAGCGTAGGGGAGGGAGGCAGAGTCCTCCAGGGCTTTGTTTCATCCGTGGGGACAAAAGGACACTTCTGGGAAGCTGGACTGATGGAGGAGGGCAAAGAGAAAAGGCCTCTCCTTTGAGGCTCCTTCTTCAAGCACCCGCTGGCTCTCCCAGAGTTGGGGCCTCAGCCAGACAGACCTCTACAAGGGGCCGAGCTCAGGCAGAGGCTGTTTCAAAACTTGGAATAAAGAGACAACGGAATGCAATACATGATCCTGGATTTTCTTTTGCTATAAAGCATGTTATTGGTATAATTTGCAAAATCTGAATAAGGTCTGTAGACTTCAGAAATGTACCCGTTACTTTAACGTCTTCATTCTGATTACTTGACCTTGGTTCTATAAGAGAATGTCCTTGGGTTTAAGAGATACACATTCAGTATTTAGGGTAGAGGGGCATCACACCTTAAAAGGAAAACAAATGTATACTTAGAGGGAAAAGGATAAAACAAATATGGTAAATTTAAGATTCAAGGAAATCTGGGTGAAGGACACATGGGATTTTTGCAACTTCTGTCACTCTGAAATTGTCAAAGTTGAGAAAATAACTTGAGGAAAATGTGTCCCGTAGAAAGATAAAACAGCTCATCCTCCAAAGCTCAGTCTCATTCTCTACACACCTCCCCCCAACTTTTCTCCACTGAACTTCCCCGTAATCACTCTCCGTGGATACTCACTCCAGTATTCACACCATGTTGATGAGAATAGCTGATAGCTAATTAACCATAGCTGACAGGTACCAGCTCACTCGACCTTTAACATCCCCGTAGAGGCAGATACTATCATTTTCCTATTTTACAGATGAGCAAACAAAGCACACAGATGTTTAGTAACTTTTATAGACACTATTTAAGTCAGCCAGAGTCCAGTCCCATTCTAGGAGCTGATGAACTAGGCCATGGCCAAAAGCTTCCCAAGGGTTCCCCATTTACACTTTCTCCTCCCTGAGCCCAGCTCTCTGGTTCTTGCACTGGTCAGACTCTCAAAAGGAAGCCGAAGGGGCAAAATTAGCCCCAGCATCCACCTCCCCACTTCCTCTTGCTTGAGACATCCAGGTCAGTAGAAGCAGAGGCAAAAAGACTTGCTGTGCTTTATTGCTGTGCCTCAAACTCATCAGCAAAAAGAAAACCGCAGTAGCAGGGACAAGTTTAGGGCAGTTCAGGCAAGAAGAGCAATTCCAAGGCTTCTCCTTAAGACCCTCTTTCCCAGGTGTGGCTCAGCCTGGGCTGTCCATGGCCTGGAAGGGCCTGAAGTTGCTGTCACCACTCACTTCCCGGCTGCTTTCATGGTCGACTAAGTGACCCTGCCACTAGTCACTGCTTTTTTGTCCACAGCCTTGATGATCCCGACGGCCACCGTCTGCCTCGTGTCATGCACAGCAAAGCGACCTAGGACACAGGTCCTAGGGGCATGAGCTAGGACATTTGCAGAGGAGGTCAAATGAGCCAGGTGATACTTTGGTATCCATTTTGTGGTACTTAGATATCTATCTATAAGTGATATCTATTTCATAGATGAAGAACCGAAGCAAAAAAGTTGAAGGTCACTTAGCTATAATGGTTGAAAATCCGGAAGTCTCATCAGCATTTAAATTCTTAGCTACTTAACTGTTCTGCATCCATAAGTAAAGGATGCAGGAAAAGCTTTGCTTTAGGGGCACCCACCACCCTACCATACTAATGTTCGTAGCCTCCAAGCAATTCACATCTTCTCTGTGCCCATCACAACCCATGAGGTGGATCTCATTTACATTTAACTATGATTCTGGCAGTTCCTTCTCCTGGGGGCTCTTCCAGGAGGAGGAAGGGGCAGCCCCAGCAGCCAGGGGCCTTACCAAGGGGTAGGTATTCTGAGAAGCTCTCCACACACACAGGCTTGACCGGAATCATCTGGATAATGGCAGAATCCCCAAATTTCAGGGCTTTGGGATTGTCTTCCAGCTTCTTGCCTGAGCACCGGTCGATCTTTTCCCTCAACCCTGCAAACTTTCAAGATATATGGGCTGTGTGGCAGTCCAGAACTGGTGAGTAGCCAGCTGCAGTGCTGCCAGGATGGTCAAGAATGATCACCTGGAACCCAGGGTGAGACAAGGGAGGGGGAGGGCATTAGCATCCTCCGAAGGAAGTGGCCCTAACCAGCTAAGGGGTCAGGCACGCTGGACATACTTTAAAGTACAGTGAACGTTTGAACATTTCAAGGGTATTCCAAGCTCTGTGCTAAGTGAATGCTGCCAGGATGGTCGAGAATGATCACCTGGAACCCAGGGTGGGACAAGGGATGGGGAGGGCATTAGCTAAGCATCCTCCAAAGGAGGTGGCCCTAACCAGCTAAGGGGTCAGGCACGTTGGACACACTTTAAAGTACAGTGAACGTTTGTACATTTCAAGGGTATTCCAAGCTCTGTGCTAAGTGAATCTCGTGCATTCCAATTTCACTTTCACAGCTGGGAGACTGAGTAACCTATCCAAGATTTTATAGCTAGGGAGAGGCAGAGCTAGGTACAGGTGATACTAAAACCCACACACATAGATGTTATTGTATGTACTACTTCTTCCCACCATTTAGAAAAATGGGTTATAACAGGAGATGCTACCTAGCTTTTTAGGTAGTTCCAGGCCAGCTGTTTACATATCTCTGCCTCATTGAATACTCCCAAGATTGCTATGAGCCTCCACGTGCACAAGAATGTACCAGACAATGCATTAAGAAAGAGCTTCATATTCTAACTCTGGGCCAAGGAAACACCAGAGAGCTTCAATACAGATTCCCTAGTTCCACCCAGATCTATGGAATCAGAACCACTGTGGAGAGGCCTAGGAACTTGAATTTTTGAAACACTTCCCAGGCGATTCTAAATTTGAGAACTACTGCTTTAAGGCATCTGGACCATGTTGTAAAAACTAACAAAGTCAGCAAGGTGCATTGTTTTGTTCAAGGACAAATAGCAAATAAGCTGCAGTCAGGACTCTAACCCAGACTGTCTGACTCTACCTACACTGCTGTCAAGAGCCTGGCATGTACTCAGAGACACCTCCTGAACAACCTAATGACCCATCCTGCTCACAGGATGGTGTGGCCACCCAAGGAAGATGCCCCTAGGTGGGCCTTCTCACCTGGGAGATGAAGCTCCCCACCTCTAAGGGCGGATCGTTCTTGCTCTCCCCTGCTACATTGCCCCTCCTAATGTCCTTCACTGACACGTTCTTCACGTTGAAGCCCACGTTGTCACCAGGCAGGGCCTCGGCCAGGGCCTCATGGTGCATCTCCACAGACTTGACCTCTGTGGTGATGTTGCGAGGGGCAAAGGTTACCACCATGCCCGGCTTGAGGAAGCCAGTTTCCACCCGGCCCACAGGCACAGTGCCGATGCCTGGAGGGACAGGGCAACCAGGGCCATCAGCAGCCAGACTCCAGTGAGTCCCCAACCCCAGGCAGTCCCACACAGTATATACTTACTGTCAAACTTGTACACATCCTGAAGGAGCAACCGCAGGGGCTTGTCTAGAGGGCGGGCAGGGGGTATGACAGAGTCCAGTGCTTCCAGCTGTGTCATGCCTACCACATTCCCTTCCTTCCTGGTGACCTTCCAGCCTCTGAATCAGGGCATCTGGAAAAGCCACCAAATATGCAACTGACTCAGCTCCAAGAGAGCTTGTCCCAGGCACCAGCCTGCACTTAACATGGCACCTCAAGTTACTTCTTTGTGCATTCTGAGCCTCGGCTTTCTTGTCTGTGCAATCGCGATATCACCACCTACCTTGTAGGCCTGTGTAAAGACACAAAAGACTACACACAATCCACTGAGCACACTGCCGACACATGCTAAGTACCCATTAAAATGGTGGCAATTACTCTAAAGCTCACAGGCATTGACCCTGAGTTGAGCCAATATACTTCAGGAAGCAAAGGTTCTGAGATCCTCAATAGGTTCTCTGCCATCTCATTCCATTTTCTCATTACACAAATGGGGAGACTGAGGCTCCTTCCCTTCTCTGGACCGGTTAACATACAACAAAGTTAAATAAGCATCAGGAGTAAGAAAGAAAACAAGACTTAAATACTCTAGTACTCATGCCTTTTGATGACTATGACGCTCCCTAACAGAGGTACCCTAAAGAATGTCCTGAAAGGTCTAAAGGTTGTTTCCAAAGGAGCAGA